TTCTTCAATGAGGGATTGAAGAAGAATCACGTTCAAAAAGAAGGCGCGTGACGCTGTAATCCAAGCGATGATAGTAGTAGACGTAGAGGAGTGGGATGACTTTCTTTTAGCCTAATTTTTTATTTTTACAATGTTTTTGTAATGTATTAATTATCACGGGCTGTAAAAAAAACAAGTAGGCCTATACTAATACTATAGATTTGGTTCGAATAGCCAACATTTTAGTAACGTTAGCCTTCGAAGCTCTTGTGTTTTTCTCCTTTTCCATCTGTCCAATCCTATTCTGCTCACAGGTGATTGGAGATGAGTTTTGTTCCTGCTTTGTTGCAGTTTGCTGATTTTTGTCAAATAACTTGTTTGTGCTTTTCAGATAAAAGGGTAGTTTCAGTTTAATATGGTGCGGGCTCATTTATTGGTAATAAATAATTGATAATAAATAATATTGATGATAATAAATGATCAAAAAATATTGGGCTTGTTTGGGCTTGTTTTTGAAGCTGCGGTTGCTTATTTGTCTCGCCAGAGGTGCTGCGGGTCTGCAGCTGGATAAATCTGTGACTAGGGTCGTAAAAGGGAGAAAAAGAAACCATTCTGCGCAGCGTTCTTGATGCTCAGACCATCGTAATATTGCACGTAAGTTTTAAAACATTTAAATTCTAACGGGAAATCAGACATTTACAGTAAGGCGGTTAAGTGAAACCAAGCACGCTGTGAATGATGCTTTAATGTCTTTTGGTTGATCAAAGAACAATGTAACACATCAAGCTATGATTAAATAGAATATTGCAGTTTACTTAGCACAACAGCCTACATTTACTCAAATATTTAATTATTGTGGGAACATTTGATATTAATAGCCTACAATAAATGACGTAATGATCAAATGATGCATGTAAAAGATGGCTTCTTGTCTCATGAGTAAATAGTGAAAATCATATAAAACCTCAGTGTTTTAATACAATGCTGAAATACTGTTTATCTCCTAACTTATATTTAGAGCTATATGTTGTGAAATTCACTTTTACCCTACACTGTTTGGTTGCACAACATGGCCATATTTGTTTCAGAGCAAATGTTTGTTTTTATACAGCTTTGTTGCCAAGTCAACATTCGTCATTATATTCACCTCATAACATACTGCCATGTCCAGGTTGTGATGAGCATCTGATTGTCTTCAACATAAAAGTGCAGTAATGTCAGTGGAACAAGAAAAGAACTCTCTGCCTGAGACTCCAAGTCTCCAGGAGGAACAGAGGTAAGACTGTGTCTGTTTTTAAAGAACCATTAAACACCACTGAAGTTTCAGTATTGAAAGTAAAATTCATTACAATGTATGTTTTACTGAAATCATAAGAAACTAAACATATTATGCCAGGAGCATCAGCAGAAAGAAGCATCTGTAATATGGAGGAAAAATTGGATAATATAAGCCTATAAAACGCAATACTTGTACAGTCCAAAGTCCAATAAAGGTGTAGGGTTGAAAATGAAAAGTGTTTAACTTTCATTTTGCTGCCAGAAAGGTGTTTTACGCCTGATATCACAAGCAGATCATGGGTTTGATACAACTGATAAGATGTGTCTTGATTAAGATGTGTTTTGCTTTGGATGAAAGTGTCTGCCAAATGCTAATGAAATTTGTAGTACAGTTTGAATGTGACGATGTGAAAAAGATTTGAAGTAGAAACTTCATATCTAATCATACTAAAAGTGACAAAAGTGTGAAGCTACTTGCTTATTAGACAATCTGATATCATTTCAAAAGATAAGACATACAAAAAAGTCAATACTGTTCAATTATAGTCTGTTAAACCTTTTAAACCTCACTTGCAACATTAAATCTATTCAGACTGAAGTAGACCTACCTCCTCTTTGTGTCATTAGTGAAAAATCAGGTTTAAAGGTTTCCAGATGTGAGTCTGTAAAGAGTGATCATTTGAAAGATGATGTACCACTTATCAAAAAGGACACACCTACCAAAAGGTATTTCACGTGTTTCTTATTGTCCAACACACAGACTGTATTAGAAAGTATTTCAATTTGTCATTACATTTTAGAGTTTTGTTTTTCAAATAGTTGGATTATAGTATTGTCGTAGCTAATTTCACCTTCTGTTGGTGACAAATAAGTTATAGTTTGTTAAATTGTATTTAATTACTAACTGGATTAAACTTCTTCAAATGAGACTGAGTGATCTCCTTTGTGTTGTTAGTGTATCCTTCAATGAGGAAACATCATCGCAAATCAAAAGGTATTTCATGTGTTTTACATTACATTATTTAAAGGGGTCATATGATGCTGCTAAAAAGAACATTTTGTGTATTTGGTGTAATGAAATGTGTTTATGCGGTTTAAGATTCAAAAAACACATTATTTTCCACATACTTCTTTATGCACCAAGAGCTTGTAACACTTCAAAGAGAAAGGAAAAATTGAAATCGCATCATATGACCCCTTTAATCTTATTTACTGTGATGTATGTAATAGACTCACTCAACAGACAATCACATAAATACATTAATACGTCCATAGTCATGACAAGGACAAATGCTCTTCAAATGAGACTGAAGAACCTCCTGTAATAGTGTTTTTTTCTCTCTGTTCTTTGTGTCATTAGTGTAAGATCAGGCTCACATGTGTCCAGATCTGTGTCTGTGAAAAGTGACTGTTCAAAACTTGATGGACCAAACTTCAGTGAGAAAAAAACATCTAACGTAAGGTTTTTCCTTTGCTAAAGTAAGGAAACTTTGCTTCCTTTGCTGCTGTTAACAATCGTTGATTTTCACGAGACTCACCGGCGCATGCGCAGCACTGACCGCTGACCTTCGGGGGTAAGACGCCAGTCCAGTCTGTGCTGAAACGCTACTGTCAATCAAACTATTGTGGGAGGGGCCTTAAGCCTCCTACACACCGGGACGATTATCGCACGCGCTTATCGCCGACATTTTTCGACGTGTCTTTTGTGTTCATACCCAAGCAGAAATACATAGGATTCAAGCATTGAATCCTATTTGATCTGCAGTTCCTCTCCATAACAACTCCCTCTTATCGAGATTTTTGTAGTCACTGTCACGTTTGTCATAAAGCTCTTTGTGTTCAGACACCAATGAGACCAGCAGCTCTACATTCAT